GAGCGTCCACACAAGGGTGATGCTGGTGGCACAGTTATGCTGGTGAGTTTCCCCAGAGAGAAAAGCCTCTGACACAACATCCTTTTGGCTTTTGTAACCTGGCTGTAAGGAGGTTTCTCCTCTCCGCTGCCCAGCACAAGACCTTGAGACCGCTTCTCTTTACTCGAACTGCGCTGTGGTCACGATTGCAGAGCATCTCAGCAAATCCGGTGCACTATTAGGACCAAATCAACCCTGGTCTTACCCCAGTGGGTTTTAGGGCTGGTTGCTCCAGAGAGCAACTCTTACAGGGTCTAGAAAGGTAGTGTTAGCCTCCTGCCCTGAGGTGAGATTTACTCAGTCTGTTGGCAGATCCTTGAAGTTCCCCATTATCATGGTGCTCTCTGCTATTTGGAGCAAGATCCGGGGAACGCTGAGAGGAGCAGGACAGGAGGAAAGGAGTGGGGGTGGAAAGGGACACCCTGGGACAGGGATGCAGCAGGGTCTGACACAGGGGCAGATCCAGGGGGGTACACTGCTGCTATGTGGGGCTGCTCTTCATCTGAAGCCTCACCTTTGACCATATTGCCAGGCGTGACCTTACCAGGAGGACAGGACTCCTGACGGTGTTGCTCTTATGGCCACTAGTGCACACAACTTGTCAAGGTGGCAGTCTGGGGAGAGGATCTGAGCCATAAAGCAGGGATGACACCTTGCTGGTCTGTGCTACCAAATTAGGAAAGCTTCTGATTTCTCTTTAACTGGAGAAAAATATGTGCTGTGTTGTATGGGAGGAAGCCCCACACCCTCTGCACTCCCCTTTGTGAAATCCTAGATCCCCCCGTGGTCTGACACATCCCTGCGGGGCTGTGCTGCATAAGGACTGATGCATCCCTGCTGGCACTGAGGCTGGGACAGAATCAACCATAGGATCATAGAAAATTAGGACTGGAAGGGACCTCAGGAGGTCACATCTAGTGCAAACCCCTGCTCCGAGCAGGACCAGCACCAACTACATCATCCCAGCCAAGGCTTTGCGTAGCCAGGTCTTAAACACCTCCAAGGATGGAGACTGCACCACCTCTCTGGGGAGCCTGTTCCAGTGTTTTACTACCCTCCTAGTGATAGCTTTTCCTAATATCCAACTTTAATTTCCCTTGCTGCGGCTTGAGCCCATTGCTCCTTGTCCTGCCATCTGCCCCCACTGAGAACAGCCCAGCTCCATCCTCTTTGCAGCCCCCCTGCAGGGAGGTGAAGGCTGCTATTCAATCCCCCTCGGTCTTCCCTTCTGCAGACTAAATCAGCCCATTTCCCTCAGTCTCTCCTCACCAGTCCTGTCCCCCAGCCCCACAACCATTTCCGTGCCCTCCGCTAGACTTTCTCCAATGTGTCCACATCCTTTCTGCAGTGGGGGGCGGCCCACAGCTGGACACCGGACTCCAGATGTGGCCTCCCCAGTGCTGAACAGAGGGGAAGAACCATTGCCCTTGATAAGTGATCAGTGATAACACTCCTGCCCACGCAGCCCCGGATGCCGGCCGCCTTCTTGGCACCAAGAGCACACTGCTGGCTCCTGTCCAGCTCCTTGTGTCCCCTGTCCTGTCCGGTCCGGTCCGGTCCTGTCCTGTCCTGTCCCCCCAGTCCTTTTCTGCGGAGCTGCTGCAGACCGCGGGTGCGTGGGCTGGCCGAAGCCCGCGAGCCTTCCCCGCTCGGGCCAGCCCGGCCACGAACCCGGG